TTTTAAAAAAAAAAAAAAAAAGTTTCTTTATTTTTGAGAAAGTACAAGTGGTGGAGGGGCAGAGAGAGAAGGAGACAATCTGAAGGTGACTCTGCACTGACAGCAGTGAACCAGATGTGGGGCTCAGGCTCATGAACCGCGAGATCACGACCTGAGCCACAGTCAGACCCTTAACCAGCTAAGCCACCGGGGGCCCCGTGATCTTTGCTCTTTCCCGTCAGCATGGACTATGAGCACCTGAAAAAAAAACATCAGAGTCTCCTTGTCCTTTGTTATATATAACAACATATATTTTTATATATTATATATTTATATATATATAAAATAACAATATATATTTTATATATCTGTAAATGTGTGTGTGCACGTGAGAGAGACCCTGTCTGATATAGTAAGATTATTATTATATAATAAAATAATAGCACGTAATACACATAAAGACTTTTCCTGGGTCGGCTTACGGTACAGGGACTACATGGCAGTAACTGTGTCTATGAAGAAAGACAAATGGAGAGAGATAGAAAGAGCACATAAGAGCTCTGATGCTTTCTCCGTAGGCCATTGGTATTTCGGATCTGTCGACTTTTTGTTGGCCGGCTTGTTTGTTCAGTTGGTCGCGTTTTCATACTTTCCCATGCAGCCCTGAAGCACAGAGCTAATTAACCCCCAGCACAATGAACTGATGTTGATTAGCTGCAGCCAGCATGTTATGTAAACACAGTGATAAGGAGCTACGTGAGTCTCCCCATGAACGTTCAAACACTCGAGAAATCGTCATTGAATGACAGGAACCTGAGGGTGGGTGTTGGAGCCGCCAGGACCTGGCTACTGTGGTTTCTACTTAGCCTCTGAGGGATTCCACAGCTCTTTGGAGAGCTTTCAGAAAGTGAACAAACGTGCTTAGGTGTTTTAAAATCTGTGTGATTTTTATTGTGAGATTACCAAGGGTTTAATGCTGATGTCCTATTTGTCCCTCCTTTAAATGGAAGAGCTGGGGGGGAGAGGGTGTCTGCTGTCTTCCTTTCTAATGTTTCTTCCATCTCTTTCCCCCAGTTTCACTGCCACTGTCCTAGGTCACGTTCAATCAGAGCTCACCTGGACAATTGCCATCATTGTAATTGGCCGCCCTGCTCTGTCCCTTCCTTGTTTCCTTCAGCCCCCCTCATTTAAATGAACCCCAGTGATCTTTCTAAAACACATGACTGATCATTTTATTTTACTTCCATACACAAAAACCCTACAAAGGATTCCTGTTGCATTCAAAATAAAATCAAGCCCCTTTACTCATCACAAAAGACTTCCCTTTCCCACTCAGCATCTACCCCGTTCTATCTCCATCTTTCTGCTCCCCTGGAATAATTCAAGTTCATATGCTCACAATATTGTTTCGTACCCTTCTTTGTGTGTGCTTAACCTCTCTGTCTACAATGACAATTTCTCCTTGCCCACTGGAAACTCATTCATCAAGAGCCAATTCAAGCATCTTCTTGAACACCTTCTGCTGCCCCAAGAAGCTACAACCTGGTACAAGTGTACCAGGGAATTACTGGAAACCATGGGGCCTTGGAGGTACAGTCCTGGGGACCTTCTAATACTCAGGGGAGAAGAAAAGCACCCCTTGGACCAACAAACATGAAACCAATAGACATGAGAAGAATAACCAGAAGGCGAAACTCTGTAGAAGTTGCTTATGTGCTTAGGTCCCCTGGGGACACTGAGGGGGCTTCACTGGTATGTGTGATGGAGAAGAGGTTGGCTGATCAACCCAAGCAAGGAAGGAAAGGCCAGCACTAGGAGAAAGGGGGCAGGGGAGTTAGCGAGGATTGGAGAAAACTTTTCCTGAACATACCAATATTTAGAACACGCTGCCTCTCCAATAAATGCCAACTCTTTAAATTGAATTAATTTAACTTTTTGGAACACTCACTACATTTTTCTTATTTTTCTTCTTTTGCTGTGGGACTATGAAAAATTTGACATGGGCCAGCATTTTGGAGTCAGTGGTTTACTAAATCACATACGGACCCTTTTTACAGTGTATTGACATATTTACGATCAGTGGAACTGGTATGGAAGAATAGAGATTCATAAAAGGAAGGGGTGGGATTGTAAGCCAGTGCAAGATTTATGGAGGACCCTCTGGAAACACATACTAATAGAAAATGTGTACATCTTTAGATGTAGGGATTTATTCTCATGGAATGATGGGGTGAATTCACACTGATATATATATGCACATATATTATGCCAGCATAGTTCATTATATTGCAGACATATACAGAAACACATATAGAAGCATATATAGAAACAACCAAGATGGCCGTCAGTAGGAATTGGTTGAATAAATTATAGTATAGTATATAATAGACTACACTACAGTCATCAAATAAATGACTACTCCCCACCGTTAACTAGAATGAGGTAGACCTATATATATTGACGTAAGCAAATGTCCCTGACATATCCTTAATGGGAAAAACAGGTTATGGAAATATTAAATACCATTTAATATAGAACTTGATGTATATTATTTATATATAGCTTTCTTAAAATATAATCCACATATTATACAATTCACAGTTGTCACCACAATCTAATCTAATAGAACATTTTTATCCCGCCCACAAAAGAAACCACTACCCATTAGCGGCCAACCCCTACTTCCTAAGCAACCACTAAATCTACACTCCGTTTCTATTAATTTGCCTATTCTGAGTGTTTGGTAACTGGAACAGTCTCCGCATCTGGCTTCTTTAACTCAGCAGAATGTTGTTAAACGTCATCTCTGAGCAGCATGCAATAGTACTTTCTTTCTTCTTATTGCCAGATAAAATTTCCTGGTCTGGACATATCACATTTTATTTATCCATTCATCAGTTGATGGGTGTCTGGGTTGTTTCTACTTTTTATATATTTTGAATGTTAATTCTGAACATTTGCGTGCAAGTTTTTACGTGGATGTATGCTTTCATTTTGTGTGGGCGTATATACCTAGAAGTGGAATTTGCGGGTCATACGCTAACTCTCTGTTTGATTTTTTTAGAAATTCTCAAACTGTTTTCCAAAGTGGCCGTACCATTTTACATTCCCACTCCACTGTACGAGGGCTCCGATGTCTCCACACCCCCGCTCACACTTTCTGTGTGTGTGTGTTTTTTTTCATTATAGTCATCCTGATGAATGTGAGGTCATATCTCATTCTGGTTTTGATTTGCATATTCTTAATGTCTAATGATATTGAGCATCTTTTCATGTGCTAATTAGCCAATTCCAATTTGTTTTTAAAGATTATATTTCTTTGAGCAAACACATCTAAGAAGTAATATACTAAGATGTTATTAGTGTAGAGTATGGTACTTATTTTTTACTGTGTTCCTGTATTATTCAGGGTTCTACCAAAAGAATAGAACCAGTATAATGGTTGACTGGATGGATGGAGAGATAGGTAGGTAGATAGATAGATAGATAGATAGATAGATGTACTACAAGGAATTGGCTTATGCAGTTATGGGAGCTGGCTAGCCAAGTCCACAATTCACACGATAGCATAGGTGGTCAGAAAGGACCATACTGGAGCTGAAGGTACAGTCCACAGAAAAAACTTCTTCCTCAGGGAAACATCAATTCTACTCTTAAGGCCTTCAATTGATTGGATGAGGCCCATCCAGATTATTGAGCATAATCTCTTTTACTTAAGGTCAACAGATTGTAGACCTGAACCACATCTACCAAATACCTTCACAGCAATGATTAGATTCATGTTTGATTGGATAACAATACCATAGCTTAGTTGACACAAAACTGATCAACAGTTTCCTTTTATGTTATTTATTTCTTCAATGAGTCTCTATTGCTTCTTTAATCAGCATAAGCAATAAAGACAGTTTCATTTAAAGAAAACTTTTTTAGGGGAGCCTGGGTGGCTCCGTTGGTTAAGCGGCTGACTCTTTGTTTTGGCTCAGGTCATGATCTCATAGTTCGTGGGCTTGAGCCCCATGTCAGGCTCTGTGCTGACAGCGCAGAGCCTGCTTAGGATTCTCTCTCTGCCCCTCCCCCACTCACTCTCTCTCACACACAAAAGACAAAAAAATTTTTACACAGCAGTATCTTTACTCTTCACACTTGATGAACATGTTCAGCTTGGCGTCCTCTGGGGTGCTCAGCATAGTAGCTTGTACCTGATAGATTCCCAGTAGATACTATATTAACTTCTATTGCTGCTATAACAAATGATCACAAATGTGGTGGCTCACTACCACACAATTTTATTCTCCTCCAATTCTGGGGGTCTGAAGTCCAGAATCAGTTCCACTGGGCTACAGTCAGCTGCGCTGGGGATAAAGTTGGTGGGTTGCCTTCAGGAATGAGCTTTGGGGAAAGAATCCCTTTCCTTGCCCATCCTGACTTCTAGAGCTACATTCTTTCATTCCTTGGCTGGTGACCCTCCCTCATCCGCTGCTGGTAACATCCTCGAATGTGTCTCTGCTTCCCTGGCACATCACCTTCTCCACGTCTGTAGCCACATCTCCCTCCGCCTCCATCTTTTAAGGATAATCATGGTTACACATAGGTCACCTGGATCATCCAGAATAATCATGCCATCTCAAGGTCCTTAAATTAATCATATCTGGGGGCAGCTGGGCAATTCGTTTAAGCATCGGACTTTGGCTCAAGTCATGATCTCACAGCTCCTGGGTTTAAGCCCCGCATCGGGCTCTGTACTAATGGCTCAGAGCCTGGAGCCTGCTTCAGATTCTGTCTCCCCCTCTCTCTGCCCCTCCCCCACTCGCCCTCTGTCTCTCTGTCTGTCTCTATCTCTCTCAAAAATAAACACACACTGCATGCGTGGTAACATGTACAGGTGGCTGGGGCTAATCAGCCTGCTGCAGATACTCGTAGGCTAAATATTTGCCAAGCAGACCTTGTGACATTGTTTTCATTTTCCAAGAAACTGTTTTCTAAGAAATGTTGACTCTCATGGAGCCATTCCCTCTTCACAGGCTGATGTCGGTGTGACTTATTCCGTGGAGAACCTCGGGCCCCAGATTGGAGCTGAATTACCCAAGGACCCTTTGAGCAGCCCCGAGGGCCTGGAAATACAGGCTCAGTTGGGAAGTTTGCCTGGAACCACAACAGAAAGTCCCCCATTTCTTAGTGAAAGAAACAGAGGAATAAATTCAGGTAACAGCCCCCATGTATATTAATCTCTACAAAACACTATCTCTCTACATATATTGTAAAATATAGGGGCACCTGGGGGGCTCAGTCAGTTAAGCGTCTGACTCTTGATTTCCACGCAGGTCATGATGTCACGGTTCATGAGTTCGCGCAGGTCATGATCTCACGGTTCATGAGTTCGAGCCCCACATTAGGCTTTGCACTGACAGTGGGGAGCTTGCTTGGGATTCTCGGTCTCCTTATCCGTCTGCCCCTCCCCCACGTGTGCTCTTTCTCTCTCAAAATAAATAAATATTTTTTAAAAACACATATATACGTTATATAAAGTATGATGTATGCTAGCAACCCCTTTATCACAGTTTTGTGGGCGAGGCAGTGCTCCAAATAGCAAAATCCCTATTTCTGAGACATTAGGATGTAGCCTTAAGCCTTCATTGTGTGCGTACATAAAGCTAACCATTACTCTTCTTGTAGATCAAGTAATTAAAACTATCTTACTTTGTTTTTTCTCTCCCTCCCCCCACCCCCTTTTTTTTAACTAAGAGCCCTTACTGGTGGTTGGGAACAGGCCTTAGGAGGAGTCACACAGGCTTTGGTTAAATTCCTGTAAACTTCCACTGTTGTTAACATGTTTCCAAGAGAAAGTTCTACATTTGAAAAAATAAATAAAACCTATGTCAAACTGTTTCCCCTGTGTCTCCCATCCAAAGCATCAGCGAATATACAAAACAAACAGCTTTCAAAATCATAAAAGAAGTAATCATGACCTGGTGTGCTCCTTGGAAACTATTTTGATTTTTCCTACGGTTGTTTCTGCTTTACTTGAGTTACCCCCCTGGTGTTGATTTGAGAGCTCCCGTTTATATTTCATCAGCCTCTGAAACCAATTGAGTTCAACAGAACTCGAGCAAAAGTGTTCTGTTTTATTTGGGGGGACGCCTCGTGTGTCATTCCTCGTGGCCGTTGTTTCTTCCCTAGCTACAAGTTAGAGATGGAAAAGAGATGAGTTAGTAAGTGAGATTCTTTTCCTTGGACTTGGACAGCACAGTCTAGTTATGATAGTTTTCCTATTAGCCCTCGTCTCGTGGTTCTGAGGTGAGGTCTTCGTGAGCTCAGAGAACGAGGTAGGAGGCTGGGGATAGAGCAGGGGGCGCCTCTCCTCTCTCTGTGTGTCTCTCTCTGATGATTCTGTGGACGGGAGCGCCGTGAACGCTCAATGTCTGTGGCCCTAGCAGACCGCAGACTGTCGGGCGGGAGGGGACACCTGGGTGCACCCTCCCGTCAGTCCAGCCAGCAGGGTGGAGCCAAGAGACACGAGCCTGGGGAGGGAGTGAACCAGCAAAGCAGTGTTCCCCAAATGTGTTGTCGATTAGTTTCCAGAAAAGACCTTGCCCCAGAGTGTAGAACCAATGCCCCGAGGCTTAGATTTGTCCTCTGCCCTGTTCCTCCTGTGTCCTTTCTGCATCCTTGCCCTACCCGGCTACAGAACGCAGTCGATTAAAACTTCAGGTTTCACTCTAACACTTCTCAGTTTCTTCCTTCTTAAAAAAAAAAAAAAAAAAAAAAAAAAAAAAAAAAAAAAA